TTAACTGTGCATTGAGCTATAAATAATGTCTCATTGCAGATAAGAATCTATTGAATATTTTTTTCTACCTTTGGAAGATTTTCTCCTGAAGGAGACTTTCCCAGCCCCAGCAGCGAAGTTGCCTGATTGACTTTGTCCTGCCAGGCAGCCACGAATGGTGTCAATCCCAGGTCAGCTGCCACTTCCCTGCAGCCACCTCCTCATTGCTCCTGCTTGGGCTGTGGCAAAGATGAGATGAGTGCTCAGTGATGCAGAGCTGAGATCGCTGAAGTGTTAGGGAAACTGATTAAACCAATGATTTCCTGTTCCTCTGATCAGTGCAGGTTAATACCTCTGTTACCTCCAGCCCACCTTCCCTGTACTGTATTCACTTCAAAGAGTAATAACCTGGGTCAGTGTCCAGCCAAATCGTGCTGCCTCCTTTTTCTGATGTTCACTGTAGCATTTTCCTGCTTCCTCATGAGTTACTCCTGCCTTCTGCAATGGAGCCCTGGTCTGATCATCCAGAAACTTCTCAGAGCTGGAGCACAGCACGAGCTGGGGAGGGCAGGGATGGAGATGTGTCCTCAGAGCTCTGCTGCTGCTGAGACCCATGCCTGGTCCAGGCTGCAACACAGCAGGGAAATGAAAAGTGATAAGATAATATTTTGGCAGCTGATATTCTGTAGTGCAGATACTTTTTCTGGAGATTCAAATGCTGATGCTCTTCCGGAGAAGGGTTGTGGTGGCAAAGTGCTGGGCTCCTGCAGAAGTGGAGAGACTTTGAAATCATTGAGAGCTAATGATGACCTAAAATTTGAATGGTTTAAAACAATTTCCTAAAATTTGGTGTGGTTTTAACAGTGATTACAGTCCATTCTTTCTGTTGTACCTGTTACTGGTCACCCCCTGTAATGAATGTAAAAACATTATGGGAGCTCTTTGTAAAGCTTACCTGTGACCCTTTAGTAAAAGCTGTAGGAAAATTCTGAGAACACTCTCCTGGGTCACAGAGAAATATTGTGGTTTTTTATTAATAACAACTATTTATAGGAGAGTTATATAAGTACAATATAAATAAAATAAGTCAAGTTGTAAGAGCTCTCCAGAGGTCTCTGGCTCAAACCCTGATCAAAGCAAGGCCAAAGTCAAAGTTGGGTCAGGGTGCCCAAGGCCTTTTTAAGTTGGGTTCTCAACAGCACTGAGGAAGGACATGCATGGCCTCTCTGCTTTCTGTGCTTGATCATCCTCATGGCAAGGAATGATTCCTCACATTCATTCAGAATTTAATCCTTTTGTCATACAGCTTAGAGAAGACTCTGGCTCTGCCTTATCTCTAAGCCCATCAGGGAGCTGCAGGCAGCAATGTGATCCCAGCAGCCATCTATTCTCCAGGATGAAGAAGCCCAGCTCCTTCAGCTTTCCTGGAATGCCCTGTGCCCTGTCCCTGGGCAGCCTGCCTGCCTCTGCTGGACTCGTTCCCATGTGTCAACATCTGCCCTTGTAGTGAGGCCAAATACATTTAAATCATTGCATAAGTAATGTGAAACCATGTTAGCCTTCAGCTGCAGAGTACAAAGTTCTGCACATGGTCTTATTAGCTCAGGAAAACATCCACTGGCATTACCTGGATCAAGTTCTATTTAATAAGTTCATAAACACATGGATATGTTTTGATAGGGAGATGTTTTAATCATATCAGTGACTTTGTTTGCTTTATTGCTCAGTTCAAACGAGGCCTTCAAGCACTGGGTGAGAGGCAGAGCTTCAATTTGTGCTCTGCTGGTTTCTCCAGGCATGCGGCTCAGTGAAAACAGCTATTGGCCACATTGTGGCCAAAAGAAAGCCAGAGATGAAAACTTCAGCCTGAACTGTGTTTAGCAGGCATTTTGGAGTGATTAGAAGCATTTTCATGAAAGAGCTACAACTAATTGGTATTTCCCACTTTTACAACAGTTATTTGTTAATTAAATAATGTAACAAACCCCAGGAGTGCTTTAAAAAGTATATTAAATGATTTGCCATTCATTTATTAATGTGCTATTTATGCTGGGAAGTTGCATATCTGCTAAGAAAATTCTCCTACCTCAGTTTTGATTCTTTCAGAGAATACAAAATCGATACTGAAAAAAACCCAAACTGTAATGGGAAATGTAAAACAATAAATTCCATGAGTAAGTCGGAGAGGATGTTGTATAATGGCCAAATCCTGCCCTGGTGTCAGCACACAGACCTTATGGTGCTCAGGACCATTACAGGCAGCACCCTGAGGTGTGGCACTGCCTTTGCCTACCTGCACATTACAGAATCATAGAATATTTTGGGTTGGAAGAGACTTTAAGATAATTTTGGTCTAACCCCTCTGCCATAAGATGAGACATCTTCCACTGTCCCAGGTTGCTCCAATCCCCATCTAACCTGGCCTTGGACACTTCCAGGGATGGAGCAGCCACAGCTTCTCTGTGCCAGGACCTCCCACTAAAGAATTTCTCCCTACTACTTAATCTAAACCTATCCTCTTTCTGCCTAAAGCCTTGCCATTCCCACTATCCCTCCATGCTCTTGTCCAGAGTCCATCTCCAGCTCCCTTGTAGGATCTCTGCCCTCGTGCTGGCTGCTGCTCACAGAGGATTTTCCTTCAGCCAAATGGTCATTAGCCATATGCTGCATCTGACTTTGAGGATTAGAAGACCATAATGAAGTGGATTACAGCAGATCAGTGGCAGGATTGCAGACCAAATCCTCTTTCTAACTGTTCTTCCAGGAGTAGCTGAGGACTGAGCGACCTGTCCTGCAGCATGAGCTCAGCCAGCTGTGGGATTTTTCCACACTGCTATCAGAGGCAGGATAATCCAGAGCTGTAACCCTGGGTGGGGAGGCTGTGGATGCCGAATGGCTGCAGGCTGTGCAAGTGTCTGAAACCTTATTTCACCTTATGGGGATTCCTGGGTGTCACTTCTGTGGCTTGCCCAGGGGGGTACCTGAGTGGCTCGGGTGTTCCCCAGTTACCATTTAATTATTGCAGACTTGAGTTTGAAGTGTCTGTAAGTGAGAGAGAGAAGGAAAAGATCAGCTGGACATCAGACAGACACTGTGGTGGTCAGAGAAAATCTGAGTTGCCTGGGGCCAGTGCCAGACCTAGTGCTGAGTCCAGCAGTTGAAGTGGAAAATTTTTCTCTGGGGTAATACGTGCCAGGCTTTGGCAGGAAGGTGCTCTCCACTCATCAGGAGAGGCTGGTCTTGCCCAAAGGACAGCACTGTCTAGGGCAGGGAGCAGCTTCAAAAGCTGCCAGGTTGGAGCTGTGAAGCCTGATGAGGAAGGATGGTCTTGGCAGGAGGAGGCAGTGGCAAAATCCATATTTAAAACAGAAAAGTGTAGCCCCCTCCAACTCTGCAGAGCCTGCACAGGTAAAAGCAGCAACTGTGACATGTAGGGAGCAGCTTCAGTAACTCCTGCTCATGCTCAGGGAAAATGTGTTTGTCTTCCAAGAGATGCTGTTCACAAGACACATCAGGGCAATATATCCTGAAGATGTGCCAAATCTGTCTGAAATATTCATGCATGCTCCCTGTAATTTATAGAAACAATCACAGCAGCATAATTATTTCGATGCTTGTGCCTGTGAAGAATCTCATCTCTTGGAGGTGAAAATGTGACCTGCATATCCACACAGCCATGCTGTGGCCTTCTGGGTGTGCCAGGAGAGGTGATTCCATGCACTGTACAATATATCCATTCAAGGATCAAAATACACCCTTTAGACTACCGTGGTGGATCAGACAACAACACAATTGCTCGGGGTGAATTTCAATGATTTCAGATGAATTTAATTTGTCTAATGGGTGGTGCCTGGTTTGTTAAAGGCAGCACCTGTGAAGCACCTTTTGCTCTGCACCTCCCTTAGTTCTCACTCCTACCCTAAGCACAATGCTTAGCTCCCATGGCCCCCAAAAACCCCGAGTATCCTTGCCATTTTGAACCTGTGAAATGGAAGAGGAACAGGTTACAGGCAGAACCCACGCCTGCAAAATTACAGCTACTGAAACAGCAGAGGTGCAGACCTGCTCCTAGGCAGGAGCAATTTGGAGATGACACAAAGGCTGGTGGTGTGAGACAGACAGGGAAATGGGGACAGATTCTATATTTTAAGTGTCATTTTCTAAAATATCTGCAAGAGGAAAGGACCTGCTGTACTCTCAGGCATAGCTGGTGCAATGTAAATAGGCTCCTAAACCTTCAGTGTCTTTTGTTCTTCAGATGGCTTGGCTGAACACTCTGAATCCGTGTATTTAACTGAGACTAGGTCTGTAAATAAGTGCTCCCTGTTGCTAAGGTTCAAGTGACATTTTTAGTGGCATTTGACAGATTTTTAACCTGCTTTCAAGTCTTCTACTGAGCTTTTCTATAGCCAAGCAGTGAAACTGTCAAGAAGCCTTGCCTTTGCTCAAACTAGTGCTAAATACCTTTGGATTCACAGGTTGGACCCAGTCCTGCCAGACTTGCCTGACAAAGCTTAACTGATGCTGCTGGTGGCAAAGCCACACCTGACCTGTGTTTGTACTTAGAGGTGATTATCTGGGAACTTGGGGAGAAAAAAACCACCCAAAACCAAAAAGGAAAGCAGAGACTCAGTCTGTTCTGCAGACAGGGTGGTACTGCATCCTGCCTAAGCTGGTCTCTGATGGGAGATGTTGCTCTTCAAGAGACAAATTAAGGGCCTGCTCTTTACTCCCCTCAATATTTTGTGCTCCTTATATTTCCATTAGAATCCCAAAGAGGTTTCTTTTGTCCAAAAGCCTGCTTGTTTGCTTTTGACCACTCCGAACTTGTGATACTTGTCTTGATCTATTAACCAGGTGTCCAGCCAAAATCAATTGCCTGGCAGACTCAGACCATTACCTGAAAAGTCAAGACCTCCATAAATATCACCGGCCTCATTGTGCAGGTGACAGATTCTGCAGGTTGTTTTATGTTACAGTTGAACAGTTTAGACATTGCATTTGTATATATTTGCAGGCAGCCCTGGAGGGAGCATCTCGTGAGCAGAGAGGGAGCAGGCAGCTGCAGACTCCAGACACCTCCACCATGACCACGGCAGGGCTTTTGGTGCTCCTCTCCTTCGCCCTTTGCTGCTTCCCAGGTGAGTGACTCTGCAGGTGTCTGAGTCCTGGCCCTCCTTAAAAGGATAAGACAGAGGGCTCAAAGAGAGAAAACCTCCTTCAGAGGGCTCTGCTGCCTCGGTTGGCATCGTGCAGGTTGCAGGAGTGTATTTCAGGGCTGGTTGTTTGTCATAAATATAAGGAACAGCAAGTGGAGTTCTGTGCTGGCAACTCGTGCTGTTACACTTTGTACACTGATGTTCGCACACCATTACACTGCTTAAACTTGTACAGCTACAGAAAATGGATGGGTACTTGAAATAAGGCCATAAGAAGGGGTGAGACCTCCAGTAACTAGTAAAGGAAATACTGTAATGGCGCAAGCAAGTTCTTTGCAAGAGCCTGGCAGATTTCCTGCAATGCTCTTTCTGCTAATGGAACAACAAGAGATGAAAACAAGCCAGACTCTGATGTTCTCACTGCATATTCACAACTGATAAAATTACAAAGGCAAATATTTTTTTTTTCACACTCACCTTCTTTCAAATTCATATTTCTGACAACAAATGCTGTATGTATTTGCTTATCCTGTAGGGTGACTATTTGCATTTGTCTGTGTTGATTCAGGTGTATTTTCAGATATGTAACAGCAGTGCTTTAGGGTCAAAACGGATATGTAAAAAGATAAGGAAGGAAAAGCTCTTCTGTTTTCAGTTAATAAGTTTACATATCTCAGAACAAAAAAAAGAACAAAGCTATTCCAAAAGGTGTTTCATCACAGCCAGCAATAAGCCATGCTATTATACTTATCAACATAGAGGAAAAAAAAATCATACATAGTTTATTTAGTTCAGAAAACAATCACTGGAAATCACTCAGCTTGGTCCTGTGCACAGGAATTTTATATCCTTATTTCCAGCTTTAATTGAAGACTTATCATATTGGCTTTGGTTCATATTTTCTGCCTCTCTTTTCTTTTCCAGATACTGCCTTTGGGATTGAGGTAAGTGGAAGATTTCTTTCTGTCACTTTTCTCAAGTATGTGGCCTGGTAAAGACAGGACCAAAGGAATGGGAAAAACATCCAGCCTGTAGATGCTCAGCTGTTTTTCACCTAAGTGTGACACTTGGGTCATTGTAATCAGATTCTACAATGTAAAACATTAAATTATACTGCCCTTGGCTGTACATCTATGCTGTATGTTAATAATGTTTTAGTAGTAATGATAAAATGTTTTTGGATTACTTAGTTTTCCAGCAACTTTAGACCAGTCTAAGCTTTAAGCTGGAAATACATAGCTGGTTCTAAACTGAAGCAATAGACTGGTATCAGAGCCTACCTGAGGGTAACCTGCTGAAAGACTAAAACACTCTGAACTGGTCCAGCTTCCTTACAGACCATTAGTCTTGGTTGTCTGAAAAAAAACCATGATCAGCGTATTACGAATGAAAAAATAAAAACAGAAGTGCAGTGGAGGGGCCACAAGAATAGAAGAACCAGGCACCAATGGAGAGCCTTTTTAAAATCATGTCCAGTGAGCATTAGAGACCATCACTGGTTTATCCCATCCAAGGGGCTGCATGGTTATAACTCTTCCCTCCTCCTCTTCTCCTGCTCTGTGGGGTCATCTCTGCAGGAAGGATTCCCCAGTTAACTGCTGGACCCAGAGCAGAAGTTTGTGCTGGGACAGTGAGAACTGGTTCGTTCCAGGTCAGTGTCCCACACAAAATGAGCGTTGTGGATGTCACAGGTCTTCTCACCCTGTTGCTGTGATTCCTGTGGCAGGTGGACTGCAGTACATATCCCAACACCACAAATGAGGAGGGCAAAGAGGTGCTGGTCTGCAGCGAGGCCGTCAGCCCCATCTGTGGTTCTGACGGTGTCACCTACGGCAACGAGTGCCTGCTCTGTGCCTACAATGCGTATGTACAGCGTGGGGACAGCGTGGGGAGAGCATGGGGACAGCATGGGGACAGCGTGGGGACCTCAGGCAGCACAGCTCAGAGCTCCTGGCAGCACCATGCTCAGCTATCAGTGCTCTGTCACATGTCACCTGTGTCAACTCCTTCAGAATGATCCTGGGTATCAGGGCACAGCGCTCACGCAGAGCTTTAGTCACCCTGTCTTTCTTTTGCTTGTGTAATTTATTCAGGTTTTTACTTCTCCATCTCAAGGAGCAGCCAGGTGATAAGAGCACATCACATCACAGCAAAAGGATGGAGATGCTCTGCTCAGAGCTGCCCAAAATGGTCCTAAAGCTTCCCAGGGTTTTACATGCCTGCCAGCTACTCAGCTGGTTGGGGAGTGTGGCACTACCTCTCAAATATAGATATAAAAAAGCCTGACTGAGAAAGAGTCAGTTTTCCCTTGTATGAATTCTAACACCTGGGATGTAGCAAAACATCTTTGTTGAATTTCCTAATATTTGTCTTTCCTTCTGCAGAGAATATGGAACCAATGTCAGCAAAGACCACGATGGAGAATGCAAGGACGTTGCCCCTGTAAGTTAAACCAAGGGCAAAACGAGGGGTGTCTGCTTCTGATGCCAAAGGTGCTTGTTGAAATAATCGAAACCCTAAACAAGAGAACAGATGAGCTGTCAGAATCTTGCACTGGTCACCTCCAAGTGAACTGCCACCACGGTGACTCACAGAAAAGCTTTTCTCCTGCTGTGGTGCTGACCTGTGTAGCCAGGCAGGCACACTCACTAGATCTACCTGTGTGCTGTAAGCAGGGCCTTCAGCAGGGCTTTGTTTGTTCCCTCGCCAGGTGGATTGCAGCAGGTACCCCAACACAACCAGTGAGGAGGGCAAAGTGGTGGTGCTCTGCAGCAAAGACATCAGCCCCGTCTGTGGGACCGACTGGGTCACCTACGACAACGAGTGCCTGCTCTGTGCCAGGAACATGTGAGTACTGAGCACAGGGACCAGGGCTGCTGCTCCTGGAGATGCTCCTTTGGATAGCAGGACTTCTAACAGAGCCTTTTATGTGAGGTGCTTGGGCTTTGACCCTCCTCTCCTCTTCTCCTCCTGACGAAACCTTGTTTCCTCTGTGATTGGAAGGAAAGCTGTGCCTTTGGTCTAGACAGAGAAGCAGAGGGATTGGTGGAGAGCTTTTAACTAAGTTAAAAGGATGCTGTCTTGCAAAGGACAGCTAACCCAAGGGGCAGTGACATTGTCACACAGCCTGTCTCCTCATCCACTCTGACCCCTGTCCCTCACATCTTGCTATAAACCAGCTCTATCAGGCAGTGACACCACCTGAGCTGGTCCCTGGAGCCACATGGACACAACCTGAGCTGGATGTCTCCTGTATCCCACATGTTGTGCCTGAGGCTGCTCAGCATTCCTGGGTGATGGGGCTCAGCAGAACAGGTTGCTTGTAGAGCTCTCTAATGCAGGTCTCTTCCCTTCCCAGAGAGGCTGGAACCAGTGTTGGCAAGAAGACTGATGGTGAATGTAAGAAGGAAATTGTCACAGTAAGTGAATTGGGTGATCAGGGGCTGGGTTTTGGTCCTGCTGCTGTCAGGGGAAGCACTGCCAGTGTCAGCAGCAGCCCCAGAGCAGCAGTGTCCTGCAGAAGTGAAACAGCTGCTGTGCTGCAGAACAGGAGAGATTTTGCTTTCTCTGCACGTAATAAACGTTATTTGTGTGAATGCCAGGAAAGGAACAGGTGACTGCTCAGGGAGAGATGAGTAAAAGAGTAGTAGAAATAATCCATCAGGGCAGAACTGTGAATAAGAGCAGAGAATGGCTTTGGGGGTCAGACCAGGGTCCATCTAGCCTGTGGCAACTTGGTGCAGAGCCTGCTGTTGGCAGGGGCTGTGAGAATTGTGTGGGACAGAATGAGAGTGCAGAATGTAGAGAGGGGACTTTTACCCTTCCAACCTCCAGCTGTTTGCAGGTGGAGGACCTCAGCTAGGTGTGATTTCTGTGCAGTCAGTGACCCTTTATAGACTTCTCTGTGAAATTCCTCAGCCCTTTTCTGCAGCAGACACATTTTTAACCCTACAGTGCTCCTCAGCAAGTGCAGCACCCATTGCTCCAAGAAACAGAATCCCACTCTTGCAGTATCCAGCTATGTGCTAACTTCCAGTTTTAAGACTTTAGGAGGGATAATGACCTTTATAGAGGATCAGCACTCCATTCCTCCAAAGACCAGTGTTTTTCCATTTAATTTCCTGGCCAGCTGGGGAACACAGAGCACGGCACCTTCACCGAGTGAACTGCTGCTTGGAAGTGCCATGATCAGATTATGATACAGATCTCTTCAAACAGGAAATTATGATCTATTTTTACATTATTAAATTCTCCTGGCATAGGAGAAACTTACACCTCAGTTTATATCAGATGTGCAAGGAAGTTAATTACTTTTGGTAAGATTGGTATCATTAGCACTGCAGCTCTAGCTCAGGGTTCAAGCCCTTGTGCTACTGACTCCTTCACATCAGACTCTTTTATTTTTACTTTTTTTTTTCAGGTTGACTGCAGTGACTACCCCAAACCTGTCTGCACACTTGACTACATGCCCCTCTGTGGCTCTGACAACACAACATACAACAATAAATGCAACTTCTGCAATGCAGTCGTGTATGTACAAATATGAGTGACATTTGTGTTATCAGTTGCCTCCTGTGGGCACAAGTTTGCACAGTTACTGCTTTTTTTTGTTTGCTGGATACAGTTGATTAGGGATTCGGGGCAGGAGGGAATGCCAGCCACCGTGTCAAGCATTCATTTATTTTTTTCATTAGAGCATAAAAAAAAGCTACTGCTGCTTTGTTAGTGTGAATGGTTCAAAGACCATTTAACCTTAATGGAATTTTTCTTGCATGCTGCAAAGGAAATGAAATTCCTTTCTTTTGAAATTCTGCTGTAGTTTCCCCACAGATATTTTCAATCTTAATAATGGGTTAAATTTTTTTCACTCATCTCTTAATAATCAAATAGTAAATGGGATGATGAGTCTGCATCTTGGCTCTGGGGCAGGTCCCATCTGTCACCATCTCTAGGAGCCATCAAAAAGATCATAGCAGGAAGGACTCTGTGTTTAATTCATTCTTTCCTCTTCTTGCTTTCAGGGACAGCAATGGGACTATCACTTTAAGCCATTTTGGAAAATGCTGAGTATCAGTGCCAAGAGAATTCACCACAGATCCCCACTGGCAAATCCCAGCTAAAGATCTCACCTCAGTTCATCTCACCCTCTGGGGAACTCAGCTCACTCCTGATTTTCTGTCTCAATAAACTAAATCAGCAACATTTCCTTGTCTTCTTTGATGTGTTGTCTCTTGAAACATTTTCTTGATTTGTTGAATGATGATACCAGGCAGAATAGGTTACGTGCTCAAAGCTCTGGGATAGAACAAGAACAACATCTTGCTCCCCTCCCTCTCATAAAAGGCAGAAAATTAAATACAAATGATCAAACCCCAGAGCTGTGTGTCTTTGCACATAAATGACAGTGCCCCTGCATTAGTGCTCAGACCCTTTAGATGTTTGACTTTGTAAAGGGCTGAAGTGGTGACACAGGAGGGTCTCTCCAAAGGTATTCCGGGTGCATTTTCCACCAGCAAAACCTGGTCGCACCTTGGTGTCAGTGCCCAGAGCTGATCCCTGGCTCTGTCCTCACCTCATTGTTGCTCTCTCAAGGGCACTCTGCTGGCAAAGCCCATCTTTTTCAGACACGTGCATTGTCCCTGTCTATTTGTCTAAGTCCTCCAGCTGATTTATTACCAGATTTTTCTCATCTTGGAGTCATCCTTTGACACCCTTGAAGTGCTTTAAGATGAATGCCTTCCTAGGTGTGGTGCCTACTCCTGCCTACTTGTCTTCTCTCAGTCTTCAATTACACAATGCTCTTTGCCAGCCCAAGGAGTATTTCAGCAGTGTTTCAAAATCCAAGGACAAAGTATCCTTCTGTTTCTTGAGAGTGTGACCTGTCATTGGCGTATTGTGCATGAAATTTATTTTGCTTTTCTCTTCTGTTTGAGTATTGAATTGGATTTATTTTTTTTTTTTAAATCCACACAAGAGAGGCATAAATAAAATTGGCTTATCCCTTCTAAAATGTAATATCTCCCACATGCATTTCTCCTGGGAATCAAAGGGAGAGGGGTACTTGTTCTCCTTGATGGAGGTTGTCCCAAAAAGCAATGCTTTGGTGGTAAAACAAAGGATTTATGTAGAGATGGGCAGATGGTTGAAGCAGTGATTTCCAGATTGGGTTCGACTTTTTTAGGATCCACGCTAGCATCTCAAATCATTCTGTCATCATCATACTAAAAGTCTATTACTGCAAAGCTAATGGCTTTTAGGGGAAATAACAATTGTAATTTTTTTTTTTTGCATAGTCCCATAAAAGTTTCTCCATCCTTTGTCATTTCCCAGGACTCCTTTCAGTGTCTGGGACGCCCTCTTGCTTGCCTTCCAGGTTCATTGTTTTCCTGCTTTCACTGTAACTTAGTGATGTTTTACTTGGGTGAAGCACAAAAATAAAAGGAGAGCCTTCCTGCTACGGAAGCATTTCATTCAATGTTTTTCTCGAGAAAAAGCACTGCACAAAAATAGGCACTGATAGGTGAACACAGAGAAAATCTGACAGCAGTTTGTACAGTCGCTCTTTTGCCTGCAGGAATTTTCTGTGGTCCTTCAGAAGGAAACTCTCACGTATTTCACTTAAAATAAAGATGCAGAGGGTGTATCTCACACATCTAAACTTCTCGTGACTCCTGTTGATGAAGAAACATCCTTCTTGGCTTACAGCACAGCTTACCTCTGCTGCGATTACCACTGAGACAAAAGGCTGCAAATGTTGCTTCAGGATAAGGGTGGATAAGGCAAATATGAACATGCACAAACACACACACACCCCCACAGTGGTGCAGGTGTACTTATAAGCGTGGTTGCCACCTGAGGACAGAACCCAGGTTGAGTTTCCTGAGCAAAGGCCAAGCTCTGCTGCTCACAGCTCATCCAGCCACCATGAAGACCACGGGGTTGCTGCTGCTGTTCTCTCTGGTCCTTTTCTGCATCTCAGGTGAGTGGCTCCACTGCCTCCTGCTCTGCCTTGGAGTAAGAGCTGGCTGTCTTCAAAAACCACAAAAAAACCATCCTCAGGCTGGAAAGAGCTCCATTCTGCAAGGACTTATTTACTCCTAGAAAGATAGTGTTGAAAAGACTTGACATCAGAGACTATCACTTATGGGGTAATATTTTAGCAACAGAACTGAGTGGGTAAGAACAACTGTGGGAACAGCTCTACTCTCAGTGCTAGTTTATGCATAATGAAAGAAGTGACATGTACGTGGTGCAACCCGGGGACTCAGACAACCAGTATTTAACCTCTGAAATGTTACAGAAACACAAATCATTTTACTGAATGAAAGTGAACATTTCTGGTAGTCATCCTGAACTGAAGTACAGTTTGAGAGCCTGAGCTGCTGTAAAAGCTTTATAAATTCACCTCTCACTAAATATTAGTCTTATTTAAGAATAATAATAATATTGGCAATGCATATAAGATGCTGCCTCTATGTACTTGTCAGCTTTATGTCCCTGTTTACCTCAATATTTCGCTTCACTTCGAGTTCATGTCCTGCTCCATTCTTTGAACCACAGAAAATGCCTTTCTCTTATTTTACACACTTTTTTCTATTTTGACTGTAACCCTTATTAACACAATGCTACAGAATCAGCATACAGTATGGCACAACATTTTGTCTGAAATTCATTTTGTCTAAGAATAATTTGCTAACACAGGGAGTTGGAAGATATGTATTCAGGGAGTGCATTCTCAGATTTTAACAGAATCCATGAATTGCATTTGTAACATGTTTCATTTTTACTTCTTTATTTTTAGGTCCAGCTGCAGGTTCCAGTCCTGGGCTGCTGGTAAGGGACAGATTTTTCTATTCTCCAGCCTTTCTTTCCTTAAAGCAGTTTCTGTATAAATCTTTACTAATCACATCATGATGGAGGCTTTCAAAATCCTGAGACACCCAGCTGCCTGAGCAATATTTGCCATAGATATTATCGGGTGGAACTGCCATTTTCATCTGGTGATAATTTAAACAACTAGGGCAGTATTCAGCTCATGTCCAAGTTGTTGTCAAAGTTACTGCAGCTCATTTGCAGTGGTTGCACAGGCTCTGCATGGCTGGAGGCAGCACTGCAGTGCATCCTGCCCTGTCCCCAGGCTTTTCCTCAGCATCTGCTCCTGGGCAGCTCAAGGGGTGTGTGGGGGGTCTCCTAACGTCACCTTTCTCACCCAGTTTTGGTTAAGAGCTCTTTTTTTTTTTTTTTTTTTTTCTCTTGTGAATACAGTCTGCACCCAACTACTGCAGTAACCAAAGGACTTACAGGAATGTGTGTACCATGGAGTATGTCCCCCACTGCGGGTCTGATGGTGTCACATACGCCAACAAATGCTTGTTCTGCAATGCATTCTTGTACGTATGGAATAAATCTCTTCAAGTGGTGAATTAACTTAGCTTAAACTGGCTAATCAATCTTGGAGACTGGTTGGAGAAGTAAAGTTCTTTCATTTTGTTTGTTTGTTCTCTCAGCAGCAAGGGTATTTTTCTTTTATTGGGAGAGTTTGCTGGGAACTCCTTTTTTTTCACATATAAAAATATAACATAGTGTTCTCCATTCTCCTCTTAAGTGATTTGCAAAAGAGCTTTCTCTCAGCAAACAAAGTCTGTTTCCTACAGACTATCTGGTCTTTTAAATTAAGATTTTTTTTGTCTTTATATGTCAATAATAAAAGGAAATATGTGGAATGGAGTTCAGAAATTCCTCTGTGGTGTAGAGGGACAGACCAACAGTAAAAGCTCAGATGTTCTGTCTCTGAGGTTCTGATTTCTTTCTCTGCAGGAGAAGCCGTCGAAGTCTTGGCTTGAGGTCTATTAGTGCATGTTAAGTTATCAACAGCATTCAGCTGAGAAAGAGCATCCCTCCCTGGCAATGTTCCCCATGGCAGATGACTTCCTAAACCCTTGACCTGACCCTTGAAAACCTCTTATCAATCCTGAAACCTCTGCTAATAATAATAATAAAAAAAAAAGACCCAGCATTTATGTCTTGCTTTAGTCTCATTCTTGTTTCACCTAACATGTTGCATGAATATATTACTGCAACCATCCTGGGGTGTGGGAATTGCAGGGAGAGGGAGAATGGTGTTCTTCTGATCTACAAAAAGATCAACCCCAACCACAAAGTCAGTGGGCAGCTTTTGTGGGCATCTGCCTTCATCTGGCTTTCCAAAAGAAAACCAGGGCTGGAGATGCATCCTGGTGCTCCTGTCCATTTTCTGCTCTGGGGGATCTCAGTCAGACACTCTCTGGGGCAGAGGAGCTGCCTCCCTCCCCAGCTCTGCTGTCAGACACCTGCAGCCTCACCCAGCCTTACTCTTCATATCCTGGCAGCACGAAGAGGCCCTGGGCAAACCTGAACATTAACACAATTAGAGACATTCCCAAGATTGATGTAATTGGGGTGTTCTGGCAGTGTTCTGCACACAGAAAGGGTCTTGCTGGCACAATGAGCTGCTCATCTCTGTTTCAGTTTCCAAGGTTATCACCAATTTCTTACACCTACAAGAGAATATGTGAAGAAGGTCACATTCAATCCTAACAAGCAGGATTGAAAACCCACCTCTAGGTTTGAGAAGGCCTTTTGCAATCTGCTTTGCTTCCCAGAGCAATGTCACAGGGTGTTTTTCTCTGGGCAGGCAGATCCCTGTCTGCCCACGTTGGTTCATTGCTGAGGGGCATTGCAGAAAACCAGTGCCAGCAGCCCTGATGTCCAGGGGATGCTGGCAATCACTGCCACAGCCCATCTGGGCACCTCACCCATCCCTTAGCTGCTGCTTGGAGGTAATTACGTTGGCTGTGGCTTGTAGAGGATCCTTTGAGATTCTCGGGCCTCTGGAAATCTCGGCTGATGAAAGGAAGGGCTCAGAGTCATGGTGTTAATTTATTATTCATTAACAGCGAGGCGCTGCCAGTGCTGCGTGCTGTAGAGGCAGCAGTCTCACAGTCAAATAGTTAATGATCTTAAGTGACAATGTGTCACTTCCCAGAGACTGCAGAGAGCAGCTCTCTAAAAGGAGACAATTTATTTCCAAAAGACACATCTCTCTGCAACCATTAAGTGCCAAGTCCCTTCCTGGGGCTGGAATGTCCCTCCTGTGAGAGGGAGGTCTGTGTGCAGGGAGGAATTTCAGTGTCAGATGCGATTTCTGGGGACCAGGATAAATT